TAGGTCTGTATCTGTGTACCAGGGCCATATTCATTAGGCACCAAATGGAAGAAAATGGACTGAAACAGGGTGGGACGACCTGATCTTGTCCAATAAGAAATGTTCATTTTTGTTTTCTGTTGAAAAGCATTTTTTCCTACTATGTTCCCTAATAAATATGAGCCTGATGAACCTGAATCTGATGGTTTCATTCATCCCTATTGAGTACCACAGTATGAGTCATAATACCCATAAAACCTAGTGATCAAACAGGGAAATGGTTCCAATCATTTTTCCACGAAACACAGTGTTTCTAAAATCCCCTATGGGAAAAATGAATGGCGAAAAAAACGATTGGAAACATTTCCCTGTTTGACCCCAAGGTTTTATGGGTATTATGACACCTCCACTGTGGGGCTCTATTGGGTTGAATTAATTCTAATAAATGGTAGTAGGTTCATGAGTTAATTCATTTCAATTGGCCCACCTACTGATCAATAGAGTGAACAAGTAGAATAATAGAAGTTAAAAGCTCGTGATTTAGCCTCTTAGTCAGCTTCTCTTTCCTGGGTGAATATAACTTAGACCCTCAGGCTAGCAACTCACTCACTCACACACACACACACACACACACACGCACACGCACACACACACACACACACACACACACACACACACAACACACACAGACAACACACACACACATACAGTACACACACATAGAGCACTCTGTGTGTTACTCTTCCCAATCTAATTGGATCCAGTCACTCTGTTTTACTCCAGCGCTAAATTGGTTTCGATTTAACAACCTGGCCAACAGTCTCAGCCCTGAAGTGGAGCAGTGTGTGCGTGTGTGTGTGTGTGTTTGGTTTTACTATCCTTGTGGGGACCAGAAGTCATCACAAGGATAGTAAAACAATGGAAATTGTGTGGACATTTTGCAGGTCCCCACAATGAAAAGGCTATTTTAAGCTTAGGGGTTAGGTTTAGGGTTAGGGTTAAGGTTAGGGGTTAGGTTAAGGGTAATGGTTAAGGTTAGGGGTTAGGTTAAGGGTAATGGTTAGATTTAAGGGTTGGGGTTAGGGAAAATAGGATTTTGAATGGGAATCAATTGTTTGGTCCCCACAAAGATACTAAAAGAAACATCTGCACTGCACACCAGGGTCATGGACTTAATAATACTGTACGTGTGTCCTACTAGCTGCAGTGTGTGTGTATGTGTGTGTGTCACAGTGTGGATTTATGGGACAATCTCCAGGCTTGTACAACCTTTAGGTCTTATACGTAGTTCTAACACACTGGTAGGACTGGAGACAGTGGTGGTCACCAGCCCTGGTCCTGGAGAGCTACGAAAACAGCCCATCACAGCAATAATCTCATCATCAAGACCTTGATTAGTAGAATTAGGTATGAATCATTCTAGGGTTGCATGTCAAATGGCACCCTATTCCTCATATAGTCCTCTACTTTTGACCGGGGCCCAGGTACAGGTAGTGGACTATATGGAATAGGGTGCCATTTGGGACAGACCCCAGGAACAAAGTGGGTCACACCTATGAGAGCCACTGGCCTCGTGTGTAGCCCTACCTAGTGGTGTAAAGTACTTAAGTAAAAATACTTTAAAGTACTACTTAAGTATGTTTTGGGGGGTATCTGTACTTTACTTTACTATTTATACTTTTACTTTTACTTCACTACATTCCTAAAGAAATTGATGTACTTTTTACTCCATACATTTACCCTGACACCCAAAAGTACTCGTTACATTTTGAATGCTTAGCAGGACAGGAACATTGTCTAATTCACACACTTATCAAGATAACATCCCTGATAACATTTGATACTTAAGTATATTTTAGCAATTACATTTACTTTTGATACTTAAGTATATTTAAAACCAAATACTTTTAGACTTTTACTCAAGTAGTATTTTACTGGGTGACTTTCACTTTTACTTGAGTCGTTTTCTATTAAGGTATCTTTACTTTTACATTTTGTACTTTTTCCACCACTGGCCTACCCACAGCTTCAGAGAGAGCTATTCCACCAGATATCAGAGACCTCTTATGTTACTGAACCCCTACCTGAGCCTGAACAGGTACCCAGGGCTCACAATGTAGTGAGGGCTCACAATATGACAGATTCACAATATGACAGGCAACTGCTGATGGGGAGGAGGACGTATCCATTAATTGTGTGTGTGTGTGACACGTGTGTGTTTAACCTCTGGTGATAGAGTGAGTATACAGTGGGGAGAAAAAATATTTGATACACTGCCGGTTTTGCAGGTTTTCCTACTTACAAAGCATGTAGAGGTCTGTAAAAAATCCAGAAAATCACATTGTATGATTTTTAAGTAATTAATTTGCATTTTATTGCATGACATAAGTATTTGATCACCTACCAACCAGTAAGAATTCCGGCTCTCACAGACCTGTTAGTTTTTCTTTAAGAAGCCCTCCTGTTCTCCACTCATTACCTGTATTAACTGCACCTGTTTGAACTCGTTACCTGTATAAAAGACACCTGTCCACACACTCAATAAAACAGACTCCAACCTCTCCACAATGGCCAAGACCAGAGAGCTGTGTAAGGACATCAGGGATAAAATTGTAGACCTGCACAAGGCTGGGATGGGCTACAGGACAATAGGCAAGCAGCTTGGTGAGAAGGCAACAACTGTTGGTGCAATTATTAGAAAATGGAAGAAGTTCAAGATGACGGTCAATCACCCTCGGTCTGGGGCTCCATGCAAGATCTCACCTCGTGGGGCATCAATGATCATGACCTGAAGAGAGCTGGGACCACAGTCTCAAAGAAAACCATTAGTAACACACTACGCCGTCATGGATTAAAATCCTGCAGCGCACGCAAGGTCCCCCTGCTCAAGCCAGCGCATGTCCAGGCCCGTCTGAAGTTTGCCAATGACCATCTGGACGATCCAGAGGAGGAATGGGAGAAGGTCATGTGGTCTGATGAGACAAAAATATAGCTTTTTGGTCTAAACTCCACTCGCCGTGTTTGGAGGAAGAAGAAGGATGAGTACAACCCCAAGAACACCATCCCAACCATGAAGCATGGAGGTGGAAACATCATTCTTTGGGGATGCTTTTATGCAAAGGGGACAGGACGACTGCACCGTATTGAGGGGAGGATGGATGGGGCCATGTATCGCGAGATCTTGGCCAACAACCTCCTTCCCTCAGTAAGAGCATTGAAGATGGGTCGTGGCTGGGTCTTCCAGCATGACAACGACCCGAAACACACAGCCAGGGCAACTAAGGAGTGGCTCCGTAAGAAGCATCTCAAGGTCCTGGAGTGGCCTAGCCAGTCTCCAGACCTGAACCCAATAGAAAATCTTTGGAGGGAGCTGAAAGTCCGTATTGCCCAGCGACAGCCCCGAAACCTGAAGGATCTGGAGAAGGTCTGTATGGAGGAGTGGGCCAAAATCCCTGCTGCAGTGTATGCAAACCTGGTCAAGACCTACAGGAAACGTATGATCTCTGTAATTGCAAACAAAGGTTTCTGTACCAAATATTAAGTTCTGCTTTTCTGATGTATCAAATACTTATGTCATGCAATAAAATGCAAATTAATTACTTAAAAATCATACATTGTGATTTTCTGGATTTTTGTTTTAGATTCCTTCTCTCACAGTTGAAGTGTACCTATGATAGAAATTACAGACCTCTACATGCTTTGTAAGTAGGAAAACCTGCAAAATCGGCAGTGTATCAAATACTTGTTCTCCCCACTGTATATCTGTTCTCTCTCTCTCTCTCTCTCTCTCTCTCTCTCTCTCTCTCTCTCCTCTCTCTCTCTCTCTCTCTCTCTCTCTCTCTCTCTCTCTCAATTCAATTTGATTCAAGGGGCTTTATTGGCATGGGAAACATATGTTTACATTGCCAAAGCAAGTGAAATGGATAAACAAAAGTGAAATTAACAATAAAAAGTGAACAGTAAATATTACACTCACACAAGTTCCAAAATAATAAAGACATTTCAAATGTCATATATACAGTGTTGTAATGATGTGCAAATAGTTAAAGTAAAAAAGGGGAAAATAAATAAACATAAATATAGGTTATATTTAAATTGGTGTTTGTTCTTCACTGGTTGTCCTTTTCTTGTGGCAACAGGTTACAAATCTTGCTGCTGTAATTGCACACTGTGGTATTTCACCCAATAGATATGGGAGTTTATCAAAATTGGATTTGTTTTCAAATTCTTTGTGGGTCTGTGTAATCTGAGGGAAATATGTGTCTCTAATATGGTCATACATTTGGCAGGAGGTTAGGAAGTGCAGCAATGTGTCAAGTAGTTATCTTTTTGCTTTCTCATGATTTGGTTGGGTCTAATTGTGTTGCTGTTGCTGTCCTGGGGCTCTGTTTGTGTTTATGAACGGAGACTCAGGACCAGCTTGTTTAGGGGACTCTTCTCTAGATTAATCTCTCTGTAGGTGTTGGCTTTGTTATGGAAGGTTTGGGAATCGCTTCCTTGGTTGTAGAATTTAACAGCTTTTTTCTGGATTTTGATAATTAGTGGGTATCGGCCTAATTCTGCTCTGCATGCATTATTTGGATGCATTATCTCTCTCTCTCTTGCTCTCTCTCTCTCTCGCTCTCTCTCTCTCTCTTCCCTCCGCCATAGTGGATTAAAGCCACACACTAGTTTGCCGTCGCACACGGGTCGACACCAGTGGAGGCTGCTGAGGGGAGGGTGGCTCATAATAATGGCTGGAATGGAGTCAATGGAATGCCATCAAACACATGGAAACCATGTGTTTGATACCATTCCACCTATTCCGCTCCAGCCATTACCACGAGCCCGTCCACCCCAATTAAGGTACCACCAACCTCCTGTGGTTGATACAATAACAGATTATGTGTGTGTGCTCCACAGCATGACCTGAGGCTGACCTGTACATGGAGGGGAAGTGTTTTATATAGTAAAGGACATTGTCTATTTCTTTTAGTCTGACGTTACTGTGTGTCCTCTGTCTGAATGGCATTTCACACAACATGTATTTTGTCCTGTCCATTCCTCTTTCTTACTCTCCTCTCTCTCTTTCTCTCTCTCCAGAAGTACGATGCCCCTCCCAACAGGTAGATGACTGGAAGTTCCCTCAGACGGCCAGACACAACATCACAGGTAAATGACACACACACACACACACACAAACACACACACAAACACGAACACACACACACACAAAACACAGTTAATAAGACAGTTAGTACCACTCACCTTGTTTATCCTGTCTGATCTACTGTGGCTCCTCTCTGTGATTGATTACTCTGCCTGGCTTGAGGATTAATGTGGTGATGGATGTGATGCAGGTTTCAATCTGGTGCGACGCTTCTCCCTGCTCAAGACAGCAATGGTCAAGAAGATCCGTAACCCCCGAGGACCCGTCATCCTCCGACTGGGCAAGACAGCGCTCATCCACCCCACAGAGTATGTCCCCTCTCTCTCTCTCACTACCCTGTCTCCCCCTCTCTCTCGCCCTCCCTCCCTCCCTCTCTTTTCCAATCTCATCGGCCCCACAGAGTAGGTCCACGATCACTAATAGATATCTCTCTCTCTCTCTCTCTCTCTCTCTCTCTCTCTCTCTCTCTCTCTCTCTCTCTCTCCTCTCTCTCTCTCTCTCTCTCTCTCTCTCTCTCTCTCTCTCTCTCTCTCTCGCTCTCTCTCTCGCTCTCTACCACTTAGTGTGTTGGTGAATGGAGGTGGGTATGTCAGTTCAGCTTCCCCTCCCCCAATCCTAACCTTGCAAAGCTGACCCTACACCCTACACCCATAGAGCTGCCTACTTTCTGATTGTTTTAGCAGATGACCAGAATATCACATCATTTCCTCCAGTGGTAACACAAAGCTGTTACAGTCATATTAACAATAACAATACGTGGCTTGGTTTTCCTGTTGCAACCACATATAAAAATGACAGCCATTTTAACATCATGTGTTACATTTAATACCATGTACCTTAATCATATTTAAGTTAGTTCTAATAATATGGCCGGGGTATAAACTTTTTATCCGGGGGGGTTTCACCATTGTAAGACTATGTAGAGGACCTGATAGAGACCACTGTGTCACACAGTCTTTTTAAACATCCTTTCTCTGGTGGTTCAGAGTTGTTGTTGTTCAGTCTGGTGAATGTTCCCTCTCTTTCTCGTTCCCTCTCTTTCCTTCTCCTGTCTGATAAACGATAAAAGTGCCCCAGGAGCTGCCAAGTGTATATCACTCTGCAATACTTTTATGGGATTTCTGGCTTGATAACTCAATATATCTCCCCCTATAAATCGTTTTAGAGCAGACGTTGTGTACTTAAGGTGCCAGATAATATTGTCACATATATTGTGTGTCACAGCGTCTCGAGTCGCTCTGGAAATATGACAAACAGAAATTAGCAGGTCAGGAATCAACAGCTTTGAAAGCCAAGAAAAGAATCCTCAGGCTGTTTTTTATGGCATGATACCAATACGATGAAGAGAAGAGAGAGTCTGTCCATTTTCTTTCTCTTTTTTTGCGTTGATTATGTTGTATTGTGGATCAAAATACAATCATTCCGGGTGTCACTAATCTTATGGGATACAGCAAATTCTCCAGTGTTAAATCAACACAGTGTTAAATTTAACACAGGTCCAGTGCCAATACGGGTCCAGACTTTTCTGTGTTAAATTAACACACTGCTTAGTGTAAAGCCTTATTTGCATATTTCCCAGAGTGCCTTGCCTTTCGAGTGAATTGTAGAGTTACCACCCATGACTGTATTTGTTAGTGAGAGACATGGTTGTTGCATTCATTCATTCTCAGTCCTGTGGCCTTAACCAGGTGAGATCCTAAGCAAATATGTAATCAGTCAAATTCAATTATTTAACACAATTCAGCACGTATTTCATAAGGCCTAGTTTTACACTAAAACAGTGGCCTGAAACTCATGGTTTACAGGCAAATTCAGGCCTGTATGTCACTTTATGCTGGCTTCCAACATGTTGAATATCCAACATTTAGAATTTCTATTCACCTGCAACCTGCATTCAGAATGACTGCCGGGTTGGGAAGACTAAGATATGAGACTACCTAAAGCATCTAAACTGGAACAACCATTTCAGTAACGGGTGCAATAAGTCCAAGTAACAGATTTTGAAAAAAATATGTTATGTATATTTGAGTAGCATAACATTAATTAATCAGTGTACATAGATAAAAATACATATTGAAACAAACAATTAAAATAATGCACCTGCAATAGAGCATGCTGGGAAATATGATAATGATTGGTGTGGTTTTGGTTAAACACTGGTTATTAACACCAACACTGTGGTTATTTTACACCAATGAGTGTTAATTTAACTCTTACAGAGTTAATTTAACACCTGAACAACACTAGAAATGTTACACTGAAAAATCAACACTATGTAACACTGGCCTATTTGCTGTGTAGGAGTCATATTACTGTTGGTTGAGAGATGGAAAGTTATCTTAGCTAGACAGACTCTTTCTTCAGACAACACTTGAGTGTTTTTCTCTCGCTCTCTCTCTCTCTCTCTCTCTCTCTAACTTCTCTCTCTCGCTCTCTCTCTCTCTCTCTCTCTCTCTCCCTCTCTCTCTCTCTCTCTCTCTCTCTCTCACTCTCTCTATCTCTCTCTAACTGTCTCTCTCGCTTCTCTCTCTCTCATTCTTTCCCACTCTTCTCTCCCTCTCCTAGAGACGTAAATAAACAGATACATAAGAAAACATCTGCTTGCTTTTCTTCTCTTTCTCTTTATTGTTTCTTCTCTCCCCCTCCCCTCCCCTCACCTCCCCTCCCCTCCCCTCCCCTCCCCTCCCCTCCCCTCCCCTCCCCTCCCCTCCCCTCCCCTCCCCTCCCTCCCCTCCCCTCCCCTCCCATCCCCTCCCCTCCCCTCCCTGGCTGAAAGAAGTAAAGTGAAGGATAAGAGTCTGTCAGCAGATGGCTCTCCTCTGATTTAAAACACTGTAGACGTGGCTCTGTCACGGGGGGTGGAGAAAGGGAACAAATAAATAAACAAGTGTATGAACGAGTGAACAGGGGTTATCAGTTCATGTCAAGATGACAGGTGATTCCACAAGAAACAAACCCTGAGATGACTATATGTTCTGCTGTAAAGATAGCTGTGTGTATGTGTGTGTGTGTGTGTGTATGTGTGTGTGTGTGTGTCTGTCTCTGTCTCTGTGTAGCGCAGACTGGCACCACTCCAACACTGTTCGTCCATCTACTAAAACGTCATGACATAATTCCTATTAAGAGTTTGAAAGGAGCATAATAGAAGTATAATAGGTTGTTTTCAATAAAAGGTCACAATAGGATGCAGAGCATTCCATTTGGCTGCTGGGAAGCAAGGACACCCCCAGCTCTACTAGAACCATTGACAACTATGTGCCGTTTTCAAGGGATTGTTAAATAAATGTTATAGCTAACTATTTGGTTTTAATATCATCACCTCTTGAAGAGCATAGTCAGAACTACACATTTCTGATTATTCTACATTTAGCTCTATCATCCGAGTTATACAGCAATTAACCGCATGCTTTTCATGATCAGTGAACATCAATAGATCATGTAATTTCAGATAAGTGAGGGTAGCTAACTAAGCAAACATGTGTCATGTTAGGCTTTTGGAAAGAGCTTGACATCAGCAAGTCCTCGTCCTGGTAAAGTTGTCAGTCGACATCTGTCATCACCGTTATAGATGTCAAGCAAATCAAACACTATTTGGATAAAGCCATCTAGTTTATCCCCTGAAAGTTAGCTTGTTAACTAGCAATATTGACGTGATCTGTTATTAGCTAGCTAGCCAATTTGACGTGGTCCATCAATCAATGTAGCCTATCATGTCTATCAGCAGCAATCGTAATTAAACACTCTTAAAAACAATGTTGAAAGGGGATCATGTTAGCCAACTTCACTAGGTAGGCTGGTTGAAGAAAAAAGTACATTAGGTCTACTTACCACTATGTTTAGCCAACTGTACAACGTTTCTACCAGTAGCTTGCAAAGTAAACATCATCAGCTAACAGTATATCGGCGAATGCGCCCTTCTGCTGCCAATAATGAGAGATATCGTGAGGCTACCCCATGAGCTACCCTCACGTATCTGAATGGTGGCCAATATTGAGAGATATCGTGAGGCTACCCCATGAGCTATATTAAGAATGGGCTACTCTCACGTATCTGAATGGTGGACAATATTGAGAGATATTGTGAAGCTACCCCATGAGCTATAATAAGAATGGGCTACCCTCGCGTATCTGAATTACATTTACATCATTTAGCAGACGCTCTTATCCAGAGCGACTTACAGGAGCAATTAGGGTTAAGTGCCTTGCTCAAGGGCACATCGACAGATTTTTCACCTAGTCAGCTCGGGGTTTAGAACCAGCGACCTTTCAGTTACTGGCACAACGCTCTTAACCACTAAGCTACCTGCCGCCCTGAATGGTAGCCAATATTGAGAGATATCGTGAGGCTACCCCACTGAGCTATAATAAGAATGGGCTACCCTCACGTATCTGAATGGTGGCCAATATTGAGAGATATAGTGAGGCTACCCTCACGTATCTGAAATTACATGATCAATTGATGTTTACTGATCATGGAAAGCATGCAGTTACTTGATTTATAACTCTGATGATAGAGATAATGTAAATATGTGCAATTGTTTTGCATGGAATAAATTGAAATTTGTAGTTCTGACTATGCTCTTCAAGAGGTGATGATATACAACCAAATAGTTAACATTAATTTAACTATCCCATAAAAAAAGGCACGCAGTTGTCCATGGGTTTTAGCGGAGCTGGCAATCTCCTTGCCCCCCAGCAGTCAAAATCGAACGCTCTGCACCTTATTGTGACATTTTATTGATAACGACCTATTGAAAATGAAGCTAATCCACTTAGCTAATCTACCAGTCTTCATGAGTGACAGGTATATAATGCTACTTGTCTGGCTGTGTAGGAGAAAGTGTACTTGAGATTTCAATGAAAACCGTAATGAAAAATGGTAGATTGATTCAGTTCCGTGAGAGTGGAATAAAGAAGATGCCGTTTGACTTCTTCAGTCTAGATTTAGATTGCAATGGGATACTTGAAACTACTTGATGGTAATAGCGCTCACTGTTGCCCCTAGTGGCAGGTTTTGAAGTCATTTCCCAGTGTCCTCAAGACAAGGATAGACGTCAAATTCTGAAGTCAATCTTGAGCGATCTCCCTGGCAGATACACACGCTCCACTCCGCAGATAAACACTTCCTTACTGAAAACACAGCGTGTTTTCCACAGACCCCAGTGCTTTTCTGATCTGAAATGTGAAACTCTCTCATCTCTCTTCTCTCTTTTTTCTCTCTCGCTCTTCTCTCTCTCTTCGCTCTCTATCTCTTTCCCCTCTCTTTCTCTCTCTATTCTCTCTCGCTCTCTCTCTCTCTCATATCCTCCCTCAATATTTGATGAGAAGAACAGCAGCTTCCTTTCTAAATGGGTGAAGGTCTGAATATGTATGCCCCCTCCCACTGATTTACATTTTTACATTTTA